GGGTAAGCCTATGCTGAGTTGAATAGATTGCTGTGGCGGTATTTGAAGACGGGGGCTCCTTTAGTTTCATTGTACAACAGAAGGTGTGCGGCCAGGCTCGTTCAGAATCTTGCTGATGTCCCTCTCGACGGTGTTGTGTTTACCCCGCAACCCATGGATGAACCCTGGAAGGGTGTTCCTCGTACCATAAACGCGCATGCTGTTCCGCTCCAATCTCTAGAATTCACAAATTGTTGCCTGTTGCTGGGCCTGTTCGGATACGACCCACAGGATTTATTATTGGGAGTACCTTCTCACATATTTTCTTTTTTCGGCAAACGATGTCTACCCAGTACTGCGCAGACCCAGCCTTGCCACCGATAGAGCAAGACGGAGAGTTCATCGGCATGGTTATGGAGCCCGCAAGGAGGTTCCAAGTGCCAGAAATTTCTTCCAAAACGGATAGGAATTACAGAAGCGGAACACGACCCGAGGCCAATGTCGGACAGGAGAGTTGTCTCCCTCGCATTCACTCACGTCGATGATCTTCTTGGTAGGCTAGACTATTTGTGTGTAAGCTCGATACATACACGAAAGTGGATTGCTGATTCGGCGAAACGCTCCGGCATGATTCTCCGCCTGAAAGAGAAAAGCAAACGGCCTGCTCTTCATTGACCTCTACAGTAGAACGGGTGTCTCTAGAGAGGGCGTGTCAGTATACCACAGGCATCATCGAACAAGGACGACATTCCAGGGCCAGACGGTGTCTTGCATCTGCGGTACGCACGTGTGTAAGGATTTTTAAACTTTGCATCCAGGCCACATAGCTGACCCTCTGCAACAATCTCCCCCAAGAATCTCAGAAGAACTTCTTCATCTCCCCACCTCAAATTACTGTGCACTGCCGTTAGCGGTGTAGCTTCAATGTGTCAAACATCCTTGGTGGTGCTTGGGGAGAAGATGGTGAAACCGTTCTCACGCGGCTGTTCATCATTTCGGTACGTCCGAGCCAATATTTCAGACGTATGTCCACTTCGGTCGAGAGAAAGTCACTCTGGGCTCGTTGTACCTTTGCCAAGCAGCATGGCCTGTCACTGCTGTACACCGGATATTACGACCGCTCCGATAATACCACAAGTTGATCTGTCGATCAATGTGGTATCCTCTTTGCCCTCTCGCCGAGAACAGGACACCGACAACGAGTGACTTAATTGATGTTCTAAAGACGGCCGTCCGTCGTGGCAAATCTAGCGTTACAAACGAGTTCCGGCTGTTCCCACCACCCTCTTTCGAGACCTCACAGGCCTGCACGTATTTTCATTTGGATTTCGAGCCATTTGATTCTCAGCGAAGTCCGATTCGCTGCCGATACAGTTTGTCGATGCTCTTCTTTTCTCGCCTCCCGCGCCTCCCGAAAACGCGCACTCCACAGTCGCTCTCTCAGCTACGGTGTCAACGCTCGCTTCACCGTCCGTTGGGGCGTGTATGCATGCTGTACATTACCACAGAGCAGTTATCAGCTGCTGAGCTGTTGAGCAGGTAATACCTTAACAAAACGACACAGTCATCCCCCCGCTCAATGAGCAGCGACAACAAGACAATAAGCGACCGCCCGTTCTTCATACAAACAACAGTGCCATATACTCCAAGCGACCTCAACTTGCATAACAGCCAGGGGCGACGAATGAAAAACGTGCCCACCATTGAGCTTGATCTCTGAGCCGCCACCTTAGGCATCACTGCGCACCTCTCCATCCCCTACAAAAAAATGGAATCCCCTTCCCCCGCCTTGGCCGAGGCGGTCATCTTTCGCCCGACGCTCCTTGTCCCCCCCCCCTCCCGACGCCTCGTTACGTCTACTCTACCCGACCCGCACGAAGTGGTGAATCTTGCCCCCCTCGTCTCAATCGCCTTGCAGCACCCCCTCTCCCCCCCCCCATTGTTTTCTCTTCGCCGCGGCCCCAAGCTCCATGTGCTCAAACCAGCCACGTTGAGAAGCAGCCAAAAGCAATTCTCGGCACTTCTAGAAGCTCTTGTATTCATTCATTCGCACGTCAACATTCATTCCACGGGGCGCGACGAGGTGCGCAAACTGTGTACGGTCAGGGGTGTGGGACACTGCTGTGCGGGACACTTGGACACCGAGTTCCCCGAATTTTCATGGTTGGCCTGTTTGCCAACTAATGTTTGTCTTAATTTTTATATTTAGCTTCGTCGTGCCGCAGAAGTGTCACCTACGGTTATTGCTTCGGGATTCCATGCCGTGGCGTCGCCTTCTCCCGTTGACTTTCTTCGTCACCCACACTTCGCACTGCTTCGTCTCCATCATCGGTCACACCTTCGGGCGACGCCTTCATCACCGTCGCGCCCCTGAGTCGTCGTCTTGTTGTGTGTATCTCTACGACTTTTCTGCCTTTTTTGTCTTCTTATGTTGTGTATCGCCAGCGAGCCATGGCGCAGTTCGTCAGACCGCTTCGCTTGCATTGGTCGTTTGTGCTTTGCGTCCTTGGTCCTCATCAGGTCTCGCCTTTGCCGTCTCCTGATACGAGTTGGGTACCCTGGCACGCGGCCAATCGTTCGCGCCTATACCTGTCGTCAAATTCTCCTGCCCTTCGTTGACGATATCCTAGATTGCGTTGAGCTTTCCCTTTGCGTCGCGTTCAGTATCAAGGCCGCATTCGTTCGGAAATTTGTTTGGGTTTTGAGCTTCGTCGCCGTATTATGGACTCTCTCGGGTAGTCGCCCTCATTCCTCCAGTTGTGACACGCGCAAGTGCGCGTAAACGAGTGGTGTGTGGCGTTTGGACATTGATTTTGTTTCTCTGTCGTCGTCTGTTCAGGATAGTGTGCGTTGCAGCAATGTGTATTTTTTTTAGCTTTATCCCTTCAAGCGTTGTCATTGAGGTGTCGATGTTTCGTCTTGTGACCGTTCGCATTCTTCGCCTCAATGATGGTGTGGGGGGTTGATTCGGGATATCTACAACTCACCCTCCTTTTGGATGTTTTGTGAAGAGTCATATCTTCGATTCATGATCGACTTTAATTCATCAGCTAAATGGTATTGTAGCTTTGTGGACTTGAGCATTGAACTGAATATAGAACCTGCACATATGATATTCAGGGTGGGCTAGTGTTCAGGAGTGTGGCTACTAGCATGAATAGGGTTCATCATATTGTTGCTAGGATGCGGGTCGGTCAGGAGGTTTACCCTTCTGACTCCCACCCCCTGAGAATTGTCGACTCTATGTACCCTCTAAGATGAAGTGGGATCCCCACTTCATCTCAGACCTCAGACCCTTGCTGATCGTCTCTTAGCAATAACAAGCAACTTTCTGGTCGTGGACAAGAGCGTCAACGACAGAACCTCCATCTGCCTCTAGGAGCAAGCTACCGCCCACGGCTTCACCTCCTTTAAAGCTGCACGACGTCTCTCAGGAGGCGCGCGCGGGGGCGTGAAACGGTTGCCTTTGGGGGGGGGGGCAAGGTACGGGAGACAACAGACAGGACGCAGAACAAAGGAAACAAACACAAAGAAGCCTATTTGCGCTCTCCAGCACTTGCTACTCTGTTTTTTTCACGAAGCACAACAATAAAATATGCTACGCATCAGACAAGCTTTCGGGTCGGAGGCGCCGCGATGATTGTAGAGCCAGCCCTGCCTGGTGCTTGTTTCTTTGGTGGTGCACATAAATTCAGCACTGCTTCATTTTCGTTAGACATGCAGAAGCGTAGAGACGAACATAAAAGCCCTGAGGTAAGCAGCAGCAACGCACAGCAGCGGTGCAAAAGTGTACCAAAAATAGATCTCGGTTGTGGAGGGGAGTGAATTTTTACTTGGTTTTTTGGGTGCTGAGGGCAAGGCGAGGCGAAGAATACAAAAATCAACGTGTTTTTCGTACTTTAACACGCCTCTCGGAGTGAGTCCATACTGCTGTGTTGCATGATATGCTATCCAAAAACAGAGAAAAAACGCATGAGGCACGCAGCGATAGAGCGCATAGGGCAATATTTGCAAACAAAAAATGCATTGCTTCGTTGAGTGTAGACACGTTTGACTTGATATTTGTGACGACATGTGATAGGAGAGGTGTGCAAAAAACAGCATATATGTTTTTTCCGTTGCCGCGCTCCTGGCTGCGGACGCCCTTTGGTGCAGGCAGAAAAAAAAACACGTGCGCTTTAGCAAGGTTCGAAACGCACGCCACACGCTTGGTGCACCACGCAGCAAAATCAGGCGGACCAATTTCTGCAGCAGTGAGGAAGCAGAGACTGGACCAGCTGCTGGTCGACGGGCAAGAAGCGGCCGAACATGTCCTAATGTACCTCGATCATAGGGCGTGTGAGGTTGTCGAAACCGCAGCAGGGGTAGAAATCCGTCTCATCTGGGTTTGTCGGCGTGCAGCCGAGGCCGACTACGGCGTGCCGTGGAATCTAAGCCCAGCAGCAACAAGCAAGCCGATGGAGCATGTCCCGCCCATCTCCGACGGAGCACGCCAAACTTCGCTGCCGGAATTGCCGAGCTCCCAGAACACGGCAGCATCGGCATGCCACAGGATGAGATCGCCAAGGGCTGCACGGTGGTTGGCACCCGCTGCGATCGAGGCTGGCGCGTTTCGCCTCGATTCCGGGCAAAACAGGTGCCCAGGGGTACACACCGCTCACGCTGTCGGCCTCAGAACGCGAAAGAAACTGGTCCCGAGCGAATGCCCAGGTGACTGGTTTTGGCTATCATTACGCCGCGATTCCCGAGCAACGGAAGCGGTTGTCATCTGGCGGTGGACTCCGTCTACAGAACGCTTCATGTCGTACATTCAGTGACCTGTCGCCCTATTCCCACCTCCAGATCGCTGCGGCAAGCACGTCACGTCGCTGTTTCCGTCGCTGCAGGATCGGCAACATAAGCATCAGCGGTGGTCCAGCATGGCCAATGAGGGGAGCATCGCCTGCCCACATTCAAGACACCGAGTGGACTGCCTCGGTTTGCAACAGCAGCCGACGGATGGCCTCCAGCCTGTACAGGTGCTACTCCTCCGTAGTAGGTGCGCCGTTCGCTAAAACCTTCTCACGGAGGCACGACGTCACGACAGCCCGAGGTGTCCCGGAGTATTCCTGTTCTCCATTCGAGTTTGCGACTCGAACAGCCGATGCCACATCTGCTCCAGCGCGAAAGAGTAAACGTACGATCCTGGGGGCGTGCGAGCAGCACCGCTGAATACGAGCTAAAAGTATAAGCCAGGGACGTGCAGCCGTCAGTGTCGCGGGCGTTGAGGTACGAGCATTCAACGCTCCGTGTACTCTCGTTGTACCGTTGCCGCAAGAGAAACTTGACGCATGCCACAAGGTCACTTTCGACGGCGCCCAAGAGAGATAGTTTAGGCCCACCCTGTCCACCACGTCCGCTTCAGTCAGAATGGCCACGATGTCCAAGTGTTGTTCCGACGCAGCAAACAAGAGCGCTTGATTGCCGGCATTTGCGATTGATACCACAACCTCTCCACTGGAATAGGTCGCGCACCACGCCCAAGTGCCCATGGTGGGCGGCTATGTCAATTGGGATGGGAAGGCGGCTACGTCCATTGGGATGGGAAGGCGGCTACGTCCATTGGGATGGCAGTACCCCCCGATGATGAATTCCCTGTTTTGGTCAAGAACGGGTTCATCTTCCCGCGAAGCAGCTCTCGCGTCGCGTTCTCATGTCCGAACTGAGCCACGATGTGCAACGGTATCGCTCCGCATACCATCCGACTGTTGGGATTCGCGAGTGCCCTGATCAGCACTCCCACCACTTCAGATTTCGTTTCGTTTGCGGCCTTGTGAAGCGGTGTGGAGCCTTGAGATGTCATGACCTCGAGGTAGGCACCAGCCCCGACAGCACAACGTTCAGGGCCGTGTGACTGCTGTCGACGGCCACCATCGACTCGTCGGCTCCGTTGTCGATCAGGGCCTTCCCTACGCGTAAGTTACCCACGTGAACGGCCATCATCAGTGTAGTGACCCGGCACTGAGCATCGCCTTGGTCGATGTCAACTGATCCTTCTGCAAGCACGACGGCTAGCGTGCGCTCTAAGGAACCCGCATGGACAGCAGTGTGAAGTGGGTTCAATGCTCGACGCCATGCACACGCGCGTTGTTAGCGAACGGGTACATTATGTGCTGCCTCTGATATGGCTGTGCTGTTTATTCGAATGATGAAACAGCACGAGCTTAAAGAAACCATCTCGTACAAACCCAGTCAGGGCTTCTGTGGTGGACTGTGTGAGGGTACATCGCGCGGTGTTTGGAGGAAGCTCCGCCGATTGAATTGAAATTCGCTGGTATACTCTTTCCCCCTCCCTAACCCGGTGCTCCTCTGTGTACAGCAGTAGTTCCGCCGCAATTGCAATCTGTGGGTGGGTGTCATGTTCCACGTCCACCCGACGTAGGCACTGCTGTAGAGCCTGCACCGCCACATTCTACACGACAATCGGCCGCTAACCGCAAATGCGAGTGCTGTTCCTCTCGGGCAAGGTGTCGTCGGCATCGCTAGCGTTTCAGAGCTGCGGAAGAAACATTGCCAGTAGATCATCACCGTCGATACTGCCAGCAGGCAGCTTTTCCGCGAGAGCCGCGTCGTTGGTACCCCTGCTGTCAAAACAACGAGCAGAGGCGGTCGGGATGAGTGCTGCTGGCGGATCGAGCGAGCTGAGCACTTCTTCCGCTTCATCGAGCGTTAGGACCGAGTCGGATGCATTCGGGGAGATAGCCGTAGAGGACACGCGGTACTGGGGAGCCCAGACCCAGCGGAGCCTCATGAACTTCCCGATCGGGGGCAGAGAGTCTCGCATGCCAATCGAGGTCATCCAAGGTACGGACCAAAAAGCTAACGTGCGGCTCCGGCTGCGGCTACGGCTGCATCTGGTTGATGGTGCACGGGCCGTACCTCTCTCATACTTATATCAAATTGGCCAGTAGATTCAGTGTCCACAAGCGGAGGCGTTGACGTGAGTTTTTTGTTGCGGCTTGGATTTCTGGGAATCCACGATATCGATGGCGCGCGGCCACCACTGCACTTCAACCGTTCATATTGCAACATCTGATACAAACGATACATGGCTATCCACGAAGTTGCATGGGCCATCCGGCACCTACGCATTGCGCTTGTTCCAACGCGAAGAAGTCTGGAGCTTGTGTCTGTTGCCCGCGCACGTGAGAATGGCTCTTTGTCGCGATGCCAAAGGAGCCAGTTCGTGCACTGTTTCAGTACGCTACCGTACTTTCTACCAATGTTTCAGTGTTTAGGTACGCTACACTGCAAGCATCGGCAGCAGTTTGCTCGAACGAACGATGCTAGCTTCATGATCGCCGCTAAATATACATGCCTGCAACATTCCTCGCAGAGTTGATCTTGCTTGTTCCCAAAGTAACTAGCTCATAGCGAGGAGTATATAGAGCCAGTTCATAACCGGTTCGACAAGCGTCTTCAACTCACCTGAATGCTAATGCTCATGATGAGGCATTTGCGATGAGGCATTCGCGATGAGGCATTCGCGACTTTGTTGGAAACAACAAGAGTCCGTCGTAGTGACCATTCATACGCAGGAGGCATCAAATTTTGTTGTTTGTTGATGTGTGCCCTATATACCGGCGGGATCTACATACCTGCGGGATCTTGAGTACGTGCAAGGTGAATTTACCGATTTCGCCCGCTTGTGCGCTTGGGTTTGTGGGAGTACTACTAGCTGTAATGAGATGACGCCTGCCCTTGTGGGGCTGGTGGAGCCGGATATTCAAAACGAGAGTATCGGGTGATGAAATGAGCTGCCTAGACCGTAGCTTGTGCATAAGAAGCAGCAGCAGCACACAACCTAACGATTGATACACATGGGTGCCATGTGAATCATCAAATTTCCGTTGAGACCAGAGAGAGAGAGAGAGAACACTACAACGGGCACCCAGAACCTGCCAGAACCTGGACCGTGCCCGATCTTTTAGGTTGTTTTGTCTAACTTCCAGAATAGCGCACGCGATCGGTGGTTGTATTTGGCCAACGTTCTCGAAGGGGCAACAAAGGTGGCTCTTAAGAATTCCTCTGCGTTCATTTTTCGGGTTGATCTTCCCACTGACCAGGTCGATCTATGTTGGAAGATAAATGAGCGCACAGTGATCGTCAGCGCTGTCAAAATTTGTATGTTGATCTTGTGGGTCCTCAATGCAGTTCCTCTACTCGGCGTCTACTGTACGGCCGATTCGACCCCTATCGACCTTCCGCTTTCATGCGCTCACTGAGAATCAGAGGAACGCATGCACCGAAGAAACATTAGTAAGGCTCGGGGCTCGTTTTTAAGTCCCACAATGAAGCTCGACACATCGAGGATACCCCATGCTCGTGACAAGGCAAGCATTACGTTGCATGCAAATCCGACTTGTAGCAAAAACTCTGCGCCAGGAATAATTGCTTTGGTCCCCTGTTTCGCACTTCGAGTCGTGCTCACAGGGTGCTCACAGCATGGAAATAATTGCTGCTTTGAGGTGCAACTGCCCCCTGATTCATTTTGCTTCCCGCGTGTCTGCCCTGTTTCGTGACCGGGCGATGGCAGGGTTCGGTGTGCTGAAGAAGTGCTGCGCTTTGTACAGCATGTCCAAGGGAAAGCTGAACCAGGATGTGGGGGAGGCCATCGTTAAGGCTGCCGATGAGGTATGTTTGATGTGGATGTCGTTAGTGCGTGGCTGCCGTTTCGTTTCCAATGGTGCCTTTGTCGGGTTTGTTGGTGAGATGGTTGGGATCCTCTCCTATCTCTCGCCGTGTCGGGTGAGCCATGGGAGTAGGTTCTGACCCTCTGACCACGAAACATTTTGCATCTCTTTGGCTCGTTTCATGTCCGTCGTGGTGGTTGTCAGCACGGGCGGCGGGTGTTCCGTGTCTATCATGTGTCTGATGCTTCCCTCGAGCAACGCATTGTCGAAGTATCCGTCCTGCTCTCAAGCGCTTGGGTGGTTCGTTTCCGCACGCTTACTATTGTATCATTCTTGAAGCATTTCCTTGCGTTTCAGGCTGCGAATCCCCGTCCAGTTCTCGCGTCAGAACGACTAGTTGTCGACGACGGTGCAGTTTTGCCATGCTGCTGTAGCCTGATCTTCCTCTATCGACCAGTAGCACAGAACCGTGGGAAAGAATAAAGTGAACAAACGCGTATTTTTTCACACGCAGGTGATTCAGGGAAAACTGGACGACCACTTTCCGCTGGTGGTGTTTCAGACGGGTAGCGGCACCCAGACCAACATGAACTGCAACGAGGTCATATCAAACAGGCATGTGTTGCTTGAATCCTTCCCCTGATGCTTCTCCTCCGGTCGTACCAGTTTCGTGGCCTCCCAGTTTGTTGCCTACCAAGTATGGCTGTGCCGCGTTCAAACATTAACGGCGGGAAGGTATGAACCGAGTGAACAAAGGCGGTGCTGCTAGTGAGTGATGATCGTATCCAGCACCTCTTAAGGGTTTTGTTTGTGCATACCGTTGATGCATTGTGAGGGTGGAGTGGATGCTACGAAGCAACCGAGAGTGCGGACGATCTGCGGTGTGATAGCGCGTTCAATTGATTTTCCGTTCGTTTCGTGGTACTTGTTGCTGGGAAGGTTTGTCCGCATACTTGCAGATGCGGTTTCGCGGACGTATCAGACATGCTTGCGCTCGTTGGCTTTTTTTGAGCTAAGGTTATGTGGTGTTTTTTGCGATTCCAACTCAGTTGTTATTTCCATGGCTTGTCATACGCTTACTTCCTCACCAGGGCGATCGAGATCCTTGGAGGTGCGAAGGGCAGCAAGAAACCGGTGCACCCGAACGACCATGTGAACATGGGTCAGTCTTCGAACGACAGCTTCCCCACAGCTATGCACATCGCGGCAATAATGCAGGTTCGAGTGTGCACGTTTGTTCCCATTCTGACTCAGGGCAAAGACGTGTTCTCCTAGCCCTGTGGGTCTAAGAGTGCACCCGAGATTTTTTCACAGTGGCAGAGGCAGGGGCCCCAGCTTTTATTGCTGGTTGGGAGGCCGCTGGGTGTACGCAGGCATGCACCGCCTTTGGTCTGAGGTATCCCCCGTTTGAGATTGAAACGGTGCGTCGGGATCGCCCTGGCAAGTGGCATCGTAGTTGTTGGATGACACGGGTGACCCACGGTAGAGAACGTCTGATCCAGCAGTACTCTGGTGCCAGGTGTCTGCAATGTTTGTAATTTGTACTATTTCCTCTCGAAAGCAAGCGGCACACTATCAGGTATTGTTTTGTTCGTGCTGGCTTGGGGCTATACAGGCACATGGCGTTCTCCTGCCGGGTCTCCGCGAGCTGCACGACGCCTTGGCTGCGAAGGCCAAGGAGTGGGAGAAGGTCATCAAGATCGGGCGGACTCACACGCAGGACGCGACTCCTCTGACTCTCGGCCAAGAGTTCGGGGGCTACGCCGCTCAGGCACGCTTTGTTGTCGATGCGGTGTTGGGGAACTTGGATACCCAAAACGTGGTCCGAGCGTTTGTAGTTTCCGGTTTGGCTTGTGTCGTGGTTGAGCTTGTTCATGATTGAAGCGCAAGGAGCTCCGGCATCGGCGTAATGTGCGCGGTGATTTCACTGACGTATGCAGCCCCTGTTTTCATAGACGATAACATTGTGTGACCTAGTATGACGCGACACCTACCATCTGTCGGTTGCTGTTGTGACGGAAGCTGTTCGGGCTTCTGGTCCTTCATCCGCCATGACGAACGCCATACCGTCCATCCGTTCTCAAGGTGGAGTACGGTATCAAGCGTGTGGAGAACACCTTGCCGTCGCTTTACCGCCTGGCCCTGGGCGGGACCGCTGTTGGCACTGGCC